TAATGTAATTGCATACTTGTCTGAAAAGGAAAATGAAAAGTCGGAGATCTCTTCCTCAGTCAAGTTTTTTACCCTTTGTAATTTTTCTGAGAAATAATGTGGAAATGTCTCTATTACATGAAATTTTTATAAAATACACACACAAAAATATATGCATGGTCAAGAACCATAAGTAATAGTTGTGTTTCAGTCTTCTGTTATCATATATTTTGCTGGAGTTGTTATTATGGACTCATTGCTTGAAATTTTCAGTGTTTATGGATCTCAGGAAATAGAATTACTCTTCTACCCTTTATCCTTGTGGGAGAAAATTTATGACCTTTTAGTTTAAGCCCAGTTGTCAACTAAGCATCACCCCACATACCTCCCACTGAAATGGGGAGGAGAATCAAAAGTAAAACTTATAGGTTGAGATAAGAACAGTTTAATAATTGAAACAAGGTAAGATATAAAAATAATAGTAAATTAAAAAAATGAATAGAGAGATAAACCCCAAGAAAAACAAGTGATGCACAACACAGTTTCTCACCACCCACTGACAGTTGCCAAACCCCATTCCCCTGGGTTGGGGTTGAGGAGGAGTGAGTGTATAAAGGGCTGTGTGGTACTAAGTTGACAACAAGGCTTAAACAACAACAGTCCTTTTTAGTGCTCAGTGGCCCATGTGCCAGGCCTTCAAATCTACACAGTCCAATGGTTATCCCTCTCCTCCACCTGACTGGAGGCAAAGTCTCTCTAATGCTGATCGCATGGTTCGCACTTCCTTCTTGTAGAAATGGACTAGAACTTGTTTTCACAGTGTCAGTAGTATAATGAGCCCATTTATTCTGCTTGGGAAACTGTCCACTGGAGACTGGAGCAAAAATCTGTGATTTCTTTTCCCTGCCATTCCCACACCCATGCCTCTAGAGATGGGGTATGTTTTCAATCCTATTTCCTCATGTCCTCTCCACAGTTCCACTTAAACCTCGACACTTGTTATTAATCCTCTTCCCTTCCTTTCCTTTTCCCTCTCTTCCCCAGCTCCTTCTCCTTCCTATTTCCTTTCCCTCTTCTCTATTTTCCTTTAGTGTAGTATTTGCCTATGCTAATTTATTCTAAAATATAACATCTGCTAACAGTTTTATGCTAATCAAAATTGTTAGAGCTTTGACTCGTCGGAGAGGCAATGTTCATGAACAGATGTCTTTGTACCTTTTCTGGAAAAGTTATTTTTTTAATTATTTCATGGTGTTCTCTGTATTTCTTTCACAACTACTGATTTACATTTAACTCTGAATAGAGAGCTTTTTGTAGAATACCAGCTTTTTATGTAATACTTCCCGCAATACTAATTCCTTCAATTATGGATCTGATGAACAAGCTGATTAAATAATTTAATTTTTTGATAAAATTTATTTGTTAAATTTACATAGAGACAATGAGGTCTATTATTTCTTTGGAAAGAAGAACACAGAAATGACAATGAAAGTAGACAGTGGTGAGATAAGTAGGATAAAGGTTGATGTTTTAAGACATCTAAATATATTTAAAACAAAAAATTTGCACCTACAGTTATCTATTAACACTTAATTTCAATCTATTTCCCAATTCTCCTTCTTTGTTTTCTTTTTCACCAGCTTTTGATTTTTTTTTGGTAATGTTCTTTGGCATAAAATTGTTTCAGTTGCTAAGTTTGCAACATGTATACAGGAGATATTTCCGTTTACATAATACTGAGGTTGAGATAGCACATGGAATACTCTAAGTGTGCTTCTCTCATAACACCTAGGGGAGGACTCTATTGCAAATTCCACATTTTCCTCACATGTTAATTGTACAGTACCCCATAATTCTAAGACTAAGGCTTGTGTAGTTGACCACGGTGTAGTGTAGGGTAATTTTGATTTCCTTTCTTCAGTCCTTATGTAAATTCGAGAGTTAATTTAGTCCATGATAAAACAGGAATCTTCTCTTCTGTATCACATTTTTTGCCGATTTTCTTTTAAAATAAATCCCTTGGACTTCCTTCAGGTACCTTTGTGTAATGTAAAGTCAGCAGCTGCACCCAACAGCTCCATCAGCTAAACCAAGAAAGTCTGTGTTTTGACCTTTATTTAGCATGAAGACAGTAATATGTAAAACTACCATATACTTAAATAGCTGCTCTTTCTAGTAAAGATTTTAACAAAGTCCTTTCTTGGATTTTATTTTTCTTCTACTTCTAGAAAGGAATTTCTACTTCTCGTGAAAAGTCATCTTGTGCTTCACATTCAGTATCTGCAGTCCTTCCTCTGCCCTACAGTCTCTCTTGTTTTCCCCATCTCTTCCATCATTGTGGTTGTGAAGACAAAAAAATAAATGGGAACCAACAATTCAGCAGGCATCTGCTTTGGGCATTTTTTAAAATAAATTTTGGATAAATTTTTATATAGGATGAGTAACAAATCAACATGCACGGGAGAATCTTCTGAACATTTTCATTCCTCTGTAGGTAAAGGGTGGTGGGTAAAAACCTAAAAGAGTTTTTTAAAGTGTTATTTTCAACAAGAATGTATAATAAGTGACGAGGCATTTGTTTGGCAAGCCATTGACTAGCCATGCTTGGTTTTCAAGCTTTGAGTTTCCAAAGATTTGAGTTAAAAAACACTTTTCAATGACATGATAGATTTGTCTGATGCAACTTTGAAACCTTTGTATCTGAAGACTTACTGCAATTTTGATCCAGAGAAGACCTTCAATCTACTTGAGAAAGAAGACTTAATTATCCTGTTGCCAGAAAAATAGCAACCTTCTTCAGGTTTAGGGTGATATGTGTGGCAGTAGTGTAGGGTGTCTTAAGGTAGGTATTTTTAGTTGTGAGTAATGGAAGATATTCTTCCAAGACCCTAAAAAATCAATGGAACTTTCGGTTTAAGGTTTACTTGTAATACATTTGCAATTAATATGTCCTGCTGGGGATGCTACCAGGCTGTGTCTTTATTTTCTTTCTAAAAGCTTTACCAAAAAACCCATATTATTTGTTAAGCAGAATTTTTGACTGTCATAGATTGATTTCAACATAAATTTTATGAATAGATTAAATGCTGCAAAAAGGAAGAAAGACAGAGACATGGGCATTATGAAGGCTAGTTTGTTTTTCCTGTATGATACAAATCAATATAATTATATTCTGTTATCAGTATGTCACTGTGCTCGAATTCCCAGGGAGAGTCAGCAACATTATGGGCACAACTCTTTCACAGTGTTACAGAAGGGCCTATTGATCTCTTACAGCGCTCCCTTAGAGTGCACAGATCATGTGTTTTCCCTCTGCAAAAGTGATTTTTGTTCTGAGAGACACAATAAGGTCTCTCTGATTTAGTTGTGTGTTTTAATGTTAAATTTGGCCGACAACTTCAGGAATTCTGTACGTGACTTGCATAATGGCACACAATATTTCACACCATAACTTAAGACATTTTTATAAAGCTATTTCTCATACTCAATGCAAGGCAGCAAATAGAGTCGCTGAGTGTTATTACTTAAACAAATAATTCAAGATGTTGAGCAGTGTAAGTAAATCATATATGAATCTATTCAGTATTGGTTTTCAGATATTTTAGGTAATAGAGTGGCAGCACGTGTGTTAACTAGAAATTAGCTTGGTTGGAATGGGTTGTGCATGGTGTAAAAACAAGGATTCCGAGTGCTGTAGAAAATTTGTGACGTTTTGGATTTGTTTGTTCCATGAAACAGAAACAAGACCTTACTAAAAAATGAAAGAAGGGTTGGAAGCAGCTCTTGCTGCTCTGAGGAAGAGCAATCTGAAAGAAAGTAGGATAGAGTCATGGCAGAAGAGCTAATAGCACTGAAGTTTGTGCTGTACTCATAAATTTGTATTGATTGGGGAAAAAATTAGTTTAGCACTGGAAACTATCTATAATTCTGTCCTCTGTTTAAGAAACCCTCCAAAAGAATTGGTATTTTCTAGCAAAATGTGTTTTTCATAAAATTCCCAGCTAGCTCTAATGAGTGTTGCAGTGAATACCAGAACAACACTGCTGACAAGAAAGCAAATGTTTTCTGTGTAATATGGATTCCCAATTCTACATTGCTCTGTGGTAAGAGTGGATGTGCAATGTAGGTCAGCACGGTGTCAATTCTGGCAAATCAAAGTACAGATACTTCCTCTCAAATCAGTCAAGGCATCTGTCAAACTTCACAAATTAGAAGTAATGTGGACATGTGAATCTACTTGGCACTGCAAAAAATAATCACTGGTTTTTATTGTGGTTCTCAATGGCTCTCATACATATAAAAACATTTCAGAATTGGTGGGTGCACATAAAACTTGCACAGTGACTAAACCGTACAAAAATTATATTTCTATATTTTTAATGCACTAGTCAAAGCATCAGATCAGAAACTTAGCTTGCATTTTAGAAAGAGTGAATAATTTTTTACCATTGTCATGTGGGGAAACATCTCAAGTATTTCCTTTCATCTTTCACTGATGCTGTGGAGAAAATATAAGCTGTTTTTTAGCCAGTTACAGCAGTGAGGCTCTGGTTCAGTACAATTCCAAGTATGTCCTATTAACAAAAATATGTTTCTAAGATCCTCAGTAGAATAAACCTAAGACTTATCTCGCTCTGTGTAATTCCAAGTTTGTTTCTGTCCCATGAAGGAGCACCTACTAGGCAATTAATTTTGTATCACTTCCTGGGTGTTTGGGGTATTTTTGTTTCTTTCCATTTTTTTTTTTTCAAATTATTTTTCCAATTTTTTTTGTTTGTCAAGTCTAGTTTATGTTCTAGCTTTATTAGTATTCAGTTTTGCTTTATTTGTTTGAAGTAATGGTATGTACTTGAAATAAGGTAAGCACATCTCTCTTAAACTTAGAACCCTCTTAAAACCAATATATCTAAAAGAATCCTATGAGTTTAGTTGTACTTTCCTCTTTTACTTTGTGTCATTCATAATTTTATTTTTTTTTCTTTTTGGTGCTTGAATTAATTAGACCTATTGTTTCATTTCAGTTTGGAAGACGTCACATTGAAGACCTTTTTAATGATTTTCGAGATGGACGAAGACTTCTGGAGCTCCTGGAATGCCTTACAGGCCAAAAAATTGTACGTGGTTTTTAACACATTTACTGTATATTGAAGCCTTGATGTTGTGATAAGTGTAGTAGGTGATATTCATTAATTTCTGCCACTGATGAGTACATGTGGAAACTATTTTTAGGGGTCTGAATATGTTTGACTTCCATTTGAAATTGAGAAAACATTGTTACTAAGAGCTGTATTAGACAGTAGCCCTTTGCTAGGCATGTATTTGAAATTAAAATATTCTACTTTGTTGTATGCACTTATTAAGGAAGTTGGGCAAAGAGAAAAAAGACTGAGGCAGGGTTCATTTAGATATCTAGATTTTAGCTGGAATAGCATTTAATGTGTAGAATTAGAATGTGTTGCTAATAAATTTAATACATACAGTCTATGTGTGGTAGCTGTACTTCCCTGAAAAGAGAGAACAGCTTGCTCTTATCAACCTGGAAATTCTAAAGTGACACATCACACATAGTTCTGAATCTCCTCTCTCGTGTTCCAGGTTGGACTTTCTAAGCTTAGCATCTTTCTCTGAAACTTTCTCATAAAAAAAGTAGTGATGCAGGCTGGAGTTTGAGAATTAAAATCCGGAGATAATATATTTGTAAATAAATATTAAACAGACTGATTATTATCTGTTTAGTTGCCATAGTAATGATCCTAAATTGCTATGCAGAATACAACTAATCATGATAAATAGAATCTGAAATTATCTGATTTTATATTCATTTCAATGATTCATTCACTGAAAAGTGTCAAGGTACCAAATTGCTTTCTAAATGTGGATCCAGCTTGTTTCACAATTAACTCTATTCCATGTTGAGAAGCTTCATAAGCCCAGAAGTTATGAAATGAAAACTACAGGTGTAGTATGAGATTTAGGATACCTGTAATGTACTCTAGATTCTGATTTTGGACAGTCACATTTGTCTTACTTTCTTTGTAGGCAAAAGAAAAGGGCTCCACAAGAGTTCATGCTCTAAACAATGTCAACAAAGCACTCCATGTCTTGCAGAGAAATAATGTAAGTATTCAGCCAGACAGGCTCAGAACATCCTATAGACAGCATACAAAATGTTTTGTAGGTGTTAAATCAAACTATTCTCTGTAGTATACAAGTACTGGACTCAAGGCAGTTTTATTAATGTGACTTGGATACTTTGTCAGTCAGCATCAGGGAAATTGTATTTTAAAGAGTTCAAAATCCCCGTCCAGCAAATTTTGAATAATACATCTATAGTGGGTGCTATCTGAAGACAGATCAACATGCATGATTTTATGCTAATGCATGGTATTTAAAATAGATTTTAAGAAGTTAATTACAAGAAGTCATCCATAGCTGGTTACAAGGTGCTATCTATCAAAATATCTACTCACTACGTCTGACAGTTTTGAACTCTGAAAAACCAAGGCTTTTCCAACAATAAATTTTTTTGGTAAATTTTTAGAGGTGTCTGTTCCTCATGGTTCAAAACATTAATCATATCAAACCCACTTTCAATTCTACTTTGTGAATATTGACTTTTCAAGCCAGTGTCCTGTGCATCATTATTGAATAAATATTCTCATAGTATCTTCCTTATGCCAGCATTCTAATGGGCCTATAATTTTAGCAGACATTTCCAGTGACCAACTAATTTTATCATATAATCTCCTCAAGAATAAATTCAAATAAACTTTAACACTCACTTAAACTTAACAGTAGGAGGTGACAGAACAAAGATAATTTATTCCGTGCTGCATATTATATTGGATTTCTTGATAGCTGCAGTAGGTCACTAAACATGCTTGAGTTCAACTGCTGAATAAAGCTATTTATTTTATAAATCTTAGGTAATCCATCTAAAGATTTGTGCATAAATGAAAGTGACCTTCTAAGATTAGCATAAAGACCTGCAGCTTGATTTTTATTTTTATTTAGTGGAATTTCATGTAAATAAATGGAAGAAAAAGCTTTTAATTGTTCAAAATCTGCAACATATGATATTATTGGGGAAAAAAATCGTCAATACATTATTTCACAGTATACAAGAAGGTTTTCACTGCATACCTGGTGACAAATGTTTACAGCAAATGCTTTTTGAAGTATTCAATACATATCATCTAAGTCTATTAATGTGCTTTATATTCAGTTTATGGAAGACAATAATAGTCCCTCTCAAATATAGGAAGAAAACAGAGTATTCCAATTTTAGAAGATAGAAGAAAAAACATTGTTTTAGAAAGTAAAGTGGTCATCCAGTGGCCATCATATTCATGTAATGAAAACCTTATAAACTGTACACAATATAAAAATTAGCATAGTATATGTAGAGGTATACTTCATACTTGTTGGTATGAAGCCAAAAGACCTGCCTAGGAAATAGTTTCCTTAACCTTCAAAAGTTTGATGAATGATTTCTGTGGGACCTCAGGAATGCAAAATCAATGGTTCTAAAGCTAATTAAAGCCTGTGAGTAATCTAAATTTTGTTTTGCTGGTATGTGCTGTTCTTGCTCTAAGGTTCTGCAGTCATCTGGACATTAACACTGAAAAATGCTGCTGCTTCCAGTCAATGTCTTTTACAGATTTTTTTGTTCCTATCAAAAGGCGAGGCTGTTGTGGGGGTAATGCCAGGGACGTGGGGGTTACCTCATCTAGGTTTAGGTTAAGTTCCTTAAGATCCATTAGGGAAGTGTTCCAAGACACAGTTGGTTAGAATTAATTCCAGTCTTGTATACTTTTAAGAAAAAATGTTCAATTCTTAAAAAAAGGAGCTCTAAGAGAGTTCTTGACTAAGTATCTACCTGGTATGGATTTATAAAAATAACTTATACACAGATACTTTGAAATAATAATAATTAAAAAAAAAAAAACAGCTTATTTTGAGGGTGCAAAAGTTTTAGGCAATCTACGGATGTAACTTTTTAACTTCAAAAAACTCCAAAGTGCATCAGAGATATGGAGATTGTAGTTTGTGAAGGAATGAGGTACCTTTCCATGTAAACATCAGTTCTGACCATGAAAAATTGCATCTATGAAACAGCAAGGATGCAAATTTTAGAGTCATAGGTCTATCCAAAAGTGCAGGACTCAGCTTATACTGTCTTGTGCTCACATCCCTGGATTTGGCTTCTTTATTTAGATAGGATGAAAAATGGGGGAGAGTGAAGAATCATTTCACATGTGCAGGACAGAGTATTTCAGAGTGGTAAATGCATTATGAAACCACAAATACATTATATAATTGTGGAAAACAACATTACTGGATGAACTATTGTGTACAAGACTTGCTTAGATGACAATCACTGTTTATTTACTTTCTCCATTCTTCTCCATTCTGTATTCGAGAACACATCCTGCCTTTCCTTATACTTTATAGATATTAATTAAGGAAAAGTAAATTCTATTTTAATCTAATATGTATCTTGGATTTGTAGGTTCTCACTCTGTCTGTATGGATTTTTTCTGTCTCCCATCAGTTTTGTGATTTGAAACTGTAGAGGTTTAATATAAAAGAGTTTGAGTTATTATTAACTGTTACATTTAATTCTGTGTTTTCACAACATACTATAACTGGAATAATTGAAACTGCAGGTCACTGTTGGCTTTTTACCAGAACATTAATTGTGCCATTTGTAAAACATGAGTTTTATCTTTATGGAACAACAGAAACCAAATGGGATGTTTACCCTAACCCATCCCTCCCTCCCCCTCCAACCTCTTATGCTTGTTATTTTTCTTATACAATTATCTTTTGATTCTCTATTAGGTTGATTTGGTAAATATAGGAAGCTCAGACATTGTGGATGGAAATCATAAGCTGACCCTTGGTTTGATCTGGAATATAATCCTCCACTGGCAGGTGAGTGGCACTGCTCCTTACTTTCCATTAAGTACTTTTATTCCATTGATCTTGTTCCCATTATTATCCAACAACAGCCTACAAAGTAAACATAGGCATTGCAATGTGCTAAATCAGCAAATTTTATTACACTCTGTTTACATATCACCTTAATAATCTTACTAGTTATTATTAAGAATATTAAGAAGATAAAATAGTTTTTAGAGCATTAGCAGAAGCTCTTTTGACTGTAATTTCACAGTCAGATATTGCAAAATTATACATATAACAGTTATCATAAGAAAAAATGGATAGACAAGACCAATGTAGCTTTCATAGTCACTTTTGTTTTTAGTATCTTAGAAAGAGTGTTTATATTTTAATAAAATAATCACATTTATTGCTTTTTGCTGCTGACCCATCCTGGCAAGAATTATTTTTAGTACACTAAAGAGCTACAAGGCTGCTAATTTATTGAAGCAGATGTTACTCATTTAGCTTCCTTTGTCTTTAGAAAGAAAGGGGTGATTATGGTATGGGACTTGTAAAAAACTTCATGGTAGATGAGGACACCAAAGTAAGCAAATTCTGAGACAGTAGTAAGAACAAAATTCAGAAGAACTAGCATCTAGGTGCTTTGAGTCTATATGTATCTATGAATTTGGACTGAGTCTGTCCATTCACGTTGACTGTGTTCCCCAAGCAATAAGCTACAGATTTTTCATAGCATTACAAGAAAAGATGGTAGGAAACAAAGACTAGAAGACTTCATATTAAAAACTAAATGCTCCTATCAAAATCACACGTGAATCATTCCTTGAAGAAGAGAATATTTTTATTCAAATTTTACAGAGCATGTAGTGAGAGCAACAAAGAAAAGCTGCAAATAGTTAACTCACTTCTTCCTTTGTCTCCCATTTCAGTATTCCTAGTTTAATTGCATAAAACTCTTCAAATTACTTAACAGCAGATGGAATATGATATCTGGCTGTGCAACTTTTGCCAATAATCCTTCAGTCACTGTGTTTCAATTTGCATGAATTATGAACTGAGACGACTGTTCATGTTCAAATTAATAATTTGATTTGTTCTTATTTTATCCTGAAACAAAGTGTTAAAGGTCTGCTTTAGTACTATCTTGTACCTACTAATTTCTTTTCAATTGTTCCCACCACTCCTCTTAACACAAACTTGCACACACACAGAAGACAATGTTCTGGTAGAGTCTGCTGAGCTTTTAGACAGCAGGCATGTGCTCTTGGAGTACCTCCTGCCTGCAGTGCACAGGTGGTTATTTTCAAACTTCATCTTGAACCTAGTGATAACTGTGACAGCATCTGTGATGGAACCCAAGGCTTTAGTCTAAACTAACCATGTATGAAAAGTACAAGGATCATGTTTACAAAGCATCAGTTAAAACTGTGACATCTTCTCATAATGATTCAGTCCATTTTTCATCTAACTTTGAGTTCTGTGTTTCAGTTTGCTTTTATTCATGGATTACTGAAAGGAAGTGACCTGCATATTCTGAACTTTTCTTTTTATTCAAAATTTTGTAAAAATAATTTCTAATTTGTTTAGAACTAAATTGCAAATAATAGCCCTTGTTTTTATTGTATAATGGTTAGTAATTTAAAAAATAATATAAAGACAGATTTGTATTTGGACTTTTCTCTCTCTTTAAAAAAAAAAAAAAGAACACTTGGCAGATGTTGGTTTGCTGCCTATTTCCCTCAAAGTATTGGAATGGTTCAAAGTAAATTTGTTTATTTACAGTTCTGTGGAGAAAGACTGTTCTTTTCTGGATTGTCTTTTAAGTTCTGAAGTGATTTTCATGTTCTAGAATATGTTTGTGATTGTCTTGTCCTGTTTACATACTGACAGCACTTCTGGTGAAGCAAGGCTATAAGTTTCTTAAGAAAGGGTGATGATTCCTGTTGGTTCCAGCTTTCCTATCACAGACTGCCCCTGGAAATAAGCAGCTGGAAGCACAATAAGCTGTTCTTAAAGTCTCTGGGCCACCAAACTTATCTGTCTACAGCTAGTAAAATGTCTCATTCTCAGTGATAACTTATCAAGATAACTATGTTTATTTATAGTCTGTAGAAGACCTAAAAGAATTAGACAGTAGTACACAGCCTACTTGATGTAATACATGCTGCTGGTGTAGTTTGCAATCCCACTTTTACAGATCTTTCATTTCTGTGTTATTTTGTTGCAGATAATAAGCAAAAAGTTCCCCCCCCCCAAGTTTAGCATCCTACAGCCAGCACCACATAAACTCTACTTATATATGACAACACAACAGTCTCTTACAAAAATGTCAATCGCTTTGTGTAAAAATAAAAAAAAAAAAAAAAAGAGATGGCAAAAGAAAGGTGCATGAAGGGAATATGAATCAGTACCAGTTCAAGTGGATATCAGCAGTCCCATTGAGGAGAAGCAGTGGTAGAGGCATTACAGCAGACACGATTCGACTCATTCTTGCCACTGTCATTGCTGTTCAGTAGAAATGTCCTGGCTTTCTGTATCCCCTGTGGTGATTGTGTCCTTTCTTATCTAGCCTGGTTTTTTCCAGATTATTATTAAAAGTCTCCCTGAAATTGAACCATCGTTCTGAGTTGAGCACCTGCTGCCAAAGCTCTTTATGCTACTGCATCCATCAGACTTTCTATTTCCTTGAAGCTGCTGCCCTCTTTCTCACAGCTCTGTGATCCCAAACTCACTGCAGCATTAGCATTTAAGTAAAAACAGAGCAAAACTAATAATTTCTGAACTGTTATATTTGACAAACTCTCTTAAGAGTGGAAAAAACATTCTCTGTTGAAGTGCTGTAAGTTCTTTTGTTATGTTTTTAAGAGCGAACTGATTTTCAGGTAAAGCATGAAAAAAACCCACTAACAAAAGTCTTTGGTGAGACTCATGGACAGAATCTTGACTTTCTTTAGAAAAAATAGCAAAAGAATAGACATATACAGAAGGCATATATTTCAGAGAGGTGCATTTCAACAGTTTTTCAGCCTTATTTTGAGACTTATTAAAAGCATCGGAGTTATTGTGCTCTTGTTGCAGAATCAGTATTTTAAGAGAAATTACCATTTTGTTTTATTTTGAATTTTGATTTTGGAAACGAAATATTAGTAGTTTTGTCAATCCACCTTGAGTCAATGAGCAAAGAATATCCTTTACTTTGATAGATGTCTTGAATACCTATGAAAATGTTCTTAAAAGTATTTTTTTCAAGTGAAATACTTTAGTGGTTCTAACTATAAAAAAGGTAATCTGTTCAGTCAGAATACCTGAAATATAACAAGTAAAACATATAAAGTAGTTCTATCAGGAAGCTATAAGGTTCCCATTTGATAGAGAAAAATGAAAAATTCTTACTTTGAGAACAGTTTTCTTTTTGGATTATCTTTTTCCCTCCCACTATTCTACAGTCTGCCATCCTGAAGCCAAGTGCCAGTCTTAAAAAATATTACATGCCTGAGTGTTGGTTTTAAAGTAAAAAGATGTAATGAGAGCCTTAGGTCGTGCTGTGTTCCTGTGTCATCTGACACACAGAGCTACACGTGTACAGGCTCCAGGACATGGTCCTGCAGTGGGAGGATCAGAGATCCACTGCTGCTGTGAGCCAGCACTGAGCCAGCACTGGCTGTGCTGCTTTTAGCTGCTTCTTAGTGTTCTGACAATAATAGCAGTGCTCCCATTCCATTCACAGCTTTCCATTTGGCAGTTTGGCATTCCAGAAGCCATCTTAGTGATGTCTGTGTTGCCCTTTTTCCCCTTTCTATCAAAATTTAATCTTTTCTTGTTGCCATAGCATATGCCCATTCCCCAGGAAGAGCAAGAATATCTATTCTCTGGAAGTCAGAGTTTCCTACACTTTAAAGCTTTGTGTCCTGCCAGGATATATTACATTAGAAAGGAGAAGTAACAGAGAAATAAGTATCAGAGGTCAACCCATCATCTGACAGCATGAGGCAGAGTCTACTAGACACTTTGAAATGGCTGTACTTTTTGAGACTGGATGCTGAAAGGGTTTATCTATCCAAAAGCTCTTCAGGCTGACATGAACACATCTATATGAACTACTTTCTCAACAGTACATCTTAACCGAGAAGCCTTCACAAAGCTTCCTTCTCACCCAAATGTCAGCCAGCACTTTTCTGCTTAGGTGCTGATCTTGTTTCAGGACCCAGCCATCTCGCAGAGAGTGTGGTGCTGCACCCACAGTGGCGTGGCATGGCATGGCATGGTATAGTTCTGAATGGCAGTGCCCTTCAGGACACTGGAGAAAAAAGTGGCTCCAGTTGTAGAAGTAGAATTATCCATCATTACTCACTGAATAGGAAGTGACCTCAGCATTCAGGATGAGTTTTACTTCATTATTTTCAGTTCCTGACATTCCCTAGGAGACAATCAAAATCATAAATTTAAGTCTTCACTGTTGCAGAGAAATGCAGGAAAAAGAGAGCAAATCTTTATCCATTGTAAGCAAATATGCTCAACAAAGGAGAGATTGAAACTGTTTTGTATTCGTTTACTCAAAAGTAGAGATAAATACTGGTTTTGACTCCATGTGTTTAGATCAAAAGGAAAACTATCACCTGGATCCTTCTGAATGATTGCCTTCCTACAGCTCATTTTTTAAAATAATTTTATCTAATTTCTTCAGTTCATATAGATTGCTCCTTTCTCTTATGTTAATGTCAACTCAAAAGCTTGATCTTTTCACTGTGTTATGAACCTCTATATTTCTAATATTTTGTTTCTCCATTCATTCAGCTATCCTTTAATACAAATATGTGTTGTATTTTTCAAAAGTCGTGGTTGGCTTATAATATTCAGAAAAATCTGCATTTGTAAATATAAGCACATGATAAAAAACTAAAATGAACAATGAAATCTTGGCTTGGACAACTCTCCTCAACTATAATTTTAATATTTTCTAGTTTTTCATATTGTTTAAGTGGGATGCAATAGATGCTAATTCCAAAAGTTTTCTTCTTTTTAGCATCCAGGGTAATGAAAAAACACAATTTTTTTATTTTGATAGTAGTGAAGGGATTTTTGCCTGGAAATAAATAAGGCAAATCTCTTAGCTTCTAGCTAAACTATGTAAATCTACTTTGGCAGCCCTCAGTAATGAAGACACTAAAAATAACAGTAAACTCAATATACCCGCTCAGACATATGAAGCAAAAATAAAGAGTATATTTACTAATTTCCTTACACTTTATTTTCTGTTTCCTGATGTAGAAATGGAGGCAACTATAAAAAACTTCTATTCTTATCTGACAGAATTTTATATTAATTTTCATTGGTGCAAATTACAGTCTAAGACTGAAGTCAGGGATGTGACCCATAAAATTTAGTGAGGATCGATTTCTCCTCCCATCTTAGAAACTAATAGTATATAAAGTAAACTTTATACCTAACTCTCAAAAGGAAAACTGAAGACACTGATACTGTCTGGGTAGTATGCATCTGAGATGCAAATACAAGATATTGTTTCAGTAATTCATATCTTTACATAGTCAAATGACTGAATTAATTGCTGTGAAACTACCGAGCAACTTACCAATACACAATAAAATGATATCTTTGTTTTCTCTACAATATCAGGGTAATTAATTTCTGTTGTTGATGGTTATTCTTTCAGATTACATCTTCTGCATGTTATCTTATAATTTTTACAATTTCAAAGTGGTCCATCCTTAATCATAAAGTAGCTTCTGCTCTGAATGTTGTTCTTCGACTGACTGATACTGGCTGCAGAGCAATTCAAGGGAAGAGTTATAATGAAATGCTATATTTCACAAGCGAATAAGCGACTTTATAGTTAAATTATATCTTAGGGAGTATTTTTAAAGATCTGCTAGTCTTTCAAAGATATATGGAGAAAGCAAAAGAAAAGAGAAAGAAAAAAAGAGTTCACTTTACAGGAAAATAATTCTTAATAGAAGTTTTATGAGCTCTTTCACTAGTAAAGAAGTTGATAAGAAATATATAATCTACTGCATTATGTCAAACTCCAGGCTAATATTTTTTAAAACCCTTAGGCTTTTTGTAAAATAATAACTGTAGATTGGTAAGCTCTCTCTAGTGAAAGAAGAATATTAACTATTCATTAAAAAATAAAATTGAAACATATGCAATACTCTTTTAATGCAGGCACTGAAATTCATTTTTCATCCTAGTGCATTTATGCAAATATAGTTTGCACATTTAAGTCAAAAACATTATCTACCGTGCACTGAGCACATTTATTTTGCCTTGGTACTATTTCAACTCGGTCAGTGAGAGAAGAATGCTTTTCATCCTGTTATCAAATTTTGCTATAATGTATCATATTAGCTAAGGATGTATTTCCAGAACAAAGAAAACCACAAGGAGAAATACTTAGTTTGACTAAACTCTGTACCACAAATGGTGCAAACAAATGTGCCTTCTCTGTGCATGGAACACTTCACGTGGCACAGGAATGAATGCACTGAAAATATCAGCAATAGTGACCAGCAAGTCAATATCCCTTGTCTTTAAGCATTCAGACTTGATTGCTGTCCTTAATATTGTCACTATGTTCTTTAATTACTTAGGATTTTTCTTCTTTAAGGCTGAAACCTGGGCAGCTGAAGGATTTTTGTGTCAAAAAAAAGAGAAACAGTCACCTTTTAATAAGTTCAATCACTGATCAAATTCTGTCTTTTATTTCAGGTCAAAGATGTAATGAAAAACATCATGGCTGGGCTGCAGCAGACAAACAGTGAAATGATTCTGCTGAGCTGGGTCCGCCAATCGACTCGCAATTACCCACAGGTCAACGTTATCAATTTCACCAGTAGCTGGTCTGACGGATTGGCTTTCAATGCACTCCTCCACAGCCACAGGTAGGAAAAATAACTGTTAATTATTTCAGTAAGCTTGTAACAAATGGCTGTAACAGAACTGGAGGATGGTGAGTCTATGATGTGGGGTGTTTTGCTGCTTCACGTGTGGGAGTCAGCATTCTTTCAAATGGCTATTTGCTTTGAACTGGCTGCTGTGTTTTGTGTTGTACTGAATCCTCTTGTGGAGGGAGAGGGTCTAAGCTTTTGACAACACAACCAAACATACTCAGTTCAGACCCTTTTCGGGAATTTCAGTGTGTATACCAGGTAGACAGGACTACAGACTTGGAAACTTTTGAGAAGAACAAGGAATAGGTCCAAAACTATGCCTTTGAGGTTGTCCTAGAGGAAGAAAGAAATTTTCCTGGGGGAACTTAGAGGGGGAAAATGTGGTGTTTGTAGAAAGCCTCTCACAGATGCTGAATTGAAAGTATGGATTTGCCTCACTAGGACACAGCTGGAGAAGGTAGCCTTTGTTTTCAAAACCTTTCATGTTATTCCACGAGCTGATTTGAGTTCTTAGCCTCTCTCAGAAGTTGTCTTCTTCTAGTCTGTGCATGCTTTATAAAACTCTACCTTTAGAGATTCAGAGATCTCTAGTGGTTCTGTGTACTTCGTTCAAGGAAGATGTGCAAGTAAATCTATCTAAAAGGCCTAGTTCTTGCAGCTACAGCCTTTAAAGCAATATTTCTTTTTGTCTTTTGTTGTATTAAAGGCTTAAAATAAAATAAGGCAAAATACCTCTAAAAGCATAGTTTGAGACAATATATGCCTTCCAACTTAAGCAGCAAAGAACTGCAGATATTTCTTTCCAGAAGTTTTGCCTGCTCTTTTAATTTTTCTAAATGAAACTGTCTCGTGAAATCTACTGCTGCTGTAGTTGAACAAACACTGGCAGACATTTACAGTGGCTATACTTTACACCATCCCAGGCACAGCAGATATCTCTTGCTTTGAGTCCATATTTCACGCTGCATATGCCTGGAAACCTTAGAATCATAAAATCATTAAGGTTGGAAATGACCTCCATGATCATCAAGTCCAACCTTGGACCAAATACCACCATATCCACTAAACTACATTGTGAAGTGCCACATCTACTTATTTTTTGAACACTTTCAGGATGGTGACTCCACCACTTTCCTGGGAAGCCTATTCCTATACTTAACCCCTCTCAGTGAGGAAATTTCCTGGTACCAAATCTGACCTCCCCTGGTGCAACTGGAGGCAATTTCCTCTGATCCTATAGTTGCCTAGGGAGAAGAGGCCAGCATCCTAACCACAACCTTCTTTCAGGTAGTTGTAGAGAGCAATAAAGTTTCCTGAACCCCTTTTTCTTTTCCAGATTAAAAAACCCCAGTACTCTCAGTTCCTCCACAAAGCACTTGAATAGACCAGACTGAATTAAGGTGCAGGAAGTTTCAGTTGCAAGCATTGTTTGCTTGTAATGTTAGGAATGAGGCACTATTTTAAGGAAGAAATACTATAAAAGGACTTTGTGTATGCCTTTCATCTGCATTCGGTATTTATAGTGTTAACAACTGGCTTTCCCACCATCCTGCTAGTTACTCCACACTGTGGGCATGAATACCTTTTTGTCTTCCTAAACACTGGCTATATACACCTTATTAAATGACAAAATGCAGCTTTTAACTCAAACACCAACTTACATAAGTCATACACGAACTTTGTGATATAGAAAGGACTGAGTGCTTCCTACTACTTTTGGTGGTACAGTGCTACCTCTGTTATATTGGATAGAGGTGGGGAAGAAAAAAATGGATACACCTCAAAGAGAAAAAACTTACTTTCAAAAATGCCAAAAAAGAGTTATGCTGAAATGATATTGGATAACTAATTATTACTGTAGACTCAAAGCTAAACCCAGTAGCACTGTAGGACACTGTAACTATCTTGAATTCATCTTCAGCAAATCAGTGCAGCAGAAGGCCTAGAGATATTGTCTCCAAGAAGAGACAATATCAGACTGTCTTCTTCTTGATTAGGGTATCTGATACTCAGATATTCAGACTGTGTTCTCCACAGGACCGTGTAATATCATCTGGTGTCTGAAATCAGTAATCAGAAATTCCTTTTTGTCCCTCTCTGTAGGAACAGCTTGAGAAGTCTGAACACAGGCACTTATTCAGGAGCAGTCTGTGGTTGGGGAAGGCAGTTGCCTATCTAAACCACTGGAATTGTCTAGACAAATCTCTGTGTCTGCATGCCAAATTTTATGCACTGCTGTGTTCAGTTCAGTGTAAAGTTCACCAGTTGTGAACATTCATTTCCAGCTTACTAGAATTTATGCACTTTATTCAGGCTTTGTAATTCAGGGCTGCAAAACTTAAGCTGGCTTTTACTCTTCATCTGTCTGCTGCCATAAATCTTGCATAGCTTTCTGCACAGTGAGCCTATTTTCAATAGAAGTGAAAAAGAATTACTCCACAGAAGTCTTGTCTCTTGCCCAGTAGTTACTGCACTTATCTGGGAAATGACAAGTGTGCATTCAGAGTCTCTGAAGCAAGTCTCCAAGACAGAGCAGTTGTCTTCTGGACTTTAATCACTGTATTACTCTGCAAAAGTTTCAGAGGAAGACCTAATGTTCTCTGAAGCAGTCAGTCAGTAATTTTTAAGATGAACCAATGACCATCTTGATGACCTTACACATTATGTTCAGTGTATGGAAACATTGACTTGTCCTTCAAGATTCAAGGTACAATCAGTTAAATAGTTACACTAAGACACTCAGAGAGTTCAGGAGCTCCTAACACTATCTTAAAGAAATAAAAAAACCTTCTCTAAGAAGCCTAATTCAGTCACTCTAAAATGCAGGTACATTACATACTTATTGGGTGTCAGAGTCTTGGATTTAGTACCTAAAGAAGACACTTTGAACATGAACTGAAGGAAAGTTGTTCAACATGTTTATATGAATTCTCAGAGAAACCTGGTGTCTCACACATCCTATGCTTTAAAAATATTACATATCTAGAATGACAAACCCTCTGAAGACACTTTTAAATTTAACCCATTTTCCCTGTTTGTTTTTCTGTTTCTCTAGTTCTCCTGTTCCACTTCATTCTTGTCTATTTCCTTACTCTCCATGAAGTTTTGTCCAGATGTTCTCCTCTTTTCTTTCATCCTCTGATTTTATTCCTCTATATTTAGTTAATTCACTGTTTCCGCTGTCTTTCTTCCTCCTTCATTACTGTCCCTTTCTGCATTACCTTTCAGTACCTCTCTTTTTCCTAGAAATTTTTATATTGAAATGTCTCATGAGGAAAACTAGCACTTGTTGCTCTAATAGTCCAAACAACTATGTGTGTCTTTATGGTTACTTAGGTAATAACCTAGTATATATACAAAATACTTTGGTGGAATTTTTCTTTGTTAAACATTTAAAACATATGTTCATCATTCCTGAAACCTAAAAGACTTGCATGATTTAATTGTAAAAATAGTCTTTACTGCAAATAATAACTTCTCTTTTGAGGCTGAAGTGTTAGAGTTTAGCCCTTCCTTAAGGTGTGTTTCAGAGGTAAACCATAAGCCTTCTGCATTGACCTAACGCTGTAATTTGCATCCATAGTCCTCATCACACTTAGATATTCTCATGATGGGAAGTAAAGTTATTCAGAAAAAATGCTACCTACATTTTGAAAATCAAGTGTCATAATAAACTCATATGGTGTACCTGCTGCCTCATGTGCATACTTTTTGCCAATTGTAGCACTATTCCTAGACTGCTACAAAAAACCAAAACCAGTCAACCAACCAACCAACCAAACAAACAAAAAAAAACCCCAAAACCAACCAAACAAAATAAAAAAACCCAGAAAACAACCAGACAGACAAAAAACCTTGAATGATGCTACCCAAATTTTTTTCCATAGTATTTAGATTCTCTGAAAGTGAGGGTAGATTTCTTGGTGGCATTAAAGCAATTTACTTTTCAAACCAATCTCTTTCCTTTAGGAATTGTGATATTTTCATTTCTCTTATATAATGTTTTCTGTGATGAGCAGGTGGCTTTTTGTTTTGTTTTGGGGTTTATTTAAAGAAGTTAAGGCAGTAATTTGAATTTTTATCTGGATGAATTCTAAGCACCTCCTTAAAGGGATTGACATAAAGTAAAAGATTTTCATGAAGCACAAACCACTGTGAGAGCAGCAGTCTCGGTGGGAAGCTTTCTCTCTGATAGGCTTTTAGCCCACCAATCCCTTGCTTTCAGCTGACTGTTTTGTTTTGATCAGATATTTCTAATGTTCTTCCTCCCTCATTTTATAAAGGGGTTACTTTAAGTAGATATTCTCATTTTTTTAATCACCATCTCTCTACAGACATTTAGGCTTTTTAGTAATTGCTTTCAATACTAAGTGCAAGGAGTAGTGGAATACAGGTTACTTGGCAAACCTACAAGGGCACGTCACTGAGCCCAGAGTGAGACTTTTCAGAATATAAACTTTCCTTGAATGGCATGTTCTGCACTGAACTGAATAAAAGCAACGCAGCAGCTGTGGAATGGCACTGTCACCCTAAGAATATACAGAAACTAAAACATTTTGCTAAGAAAGAGGTTAGTCTTGCTACAGGTGAAATTCTCTCTATATCAGGCTGGAGATCACAGAGAGTTTTTCTCCTTTACCTCTTGTAATCTTTTTCCTCCAGACAGGTATCAGAGAAAACTTCACATTTTTCATCTAACTTTGCTAAGGCTTTTTATATTTTTTTCCCTCTCCTGCCCCTTTAATCAAGATTTTGAAGTAGGAACAGGTGGCATTCATTAGCTTCCTCCTTGCTTCTTCAAAATGCTCGAATTCAGCCCAGGTGACTGCTTTAGAAATGAGCACTTTAGTGCAGCTGTTCCTGCTTCAGGGTAACAAAGTAAGGAGGGGAGGAAAATGGCATTAAAAGGACGTCCTGGATAGAATTAAAAAAAGTTTGTCTTCAGTAAGTTACAGGAACAGGAGAAGTAAAAGCAATAGTATGAAAAGGTA